ACCTTATTACTAAATAAAAATGTGTTCTGCACTTTCTTTAAAATATTGATTTCTTAATTTGGGGTTGGAAAAGTGGGGGTCATCTTGTACATGGGGGGGGGTCTTATTGATGGAAAAATACGGTATATTATACACAAAGAAATTATGTGACTAAGTTTATACTAAACTGGCTTGGTCTTCCTCCATCTCTTATGAATGTTTTCGATTGGTGAGATGGAGATACCTGCAAAATGCGAGACTGAGGCAACATTGTTGTGCTTGTTGTTTTGTTGTTAAGAATGGAGTCTAGAACAAGGTTCTGTTCACAGTACACCCAGATTTTTGAGGGGGAAAAACTATCCTGGGATAGATCATAGCCTACAGATACCTCCTACATTTATTCTTTTGGGTAGAACTGCAGCCTTTCCCAACATGGTGTCTCACGTTGAGCTCTCCAAATAACAATTCCTATAAACAGTAAGCACATATTGGTCTGGAATTGCTGGAAGATGTCATTCAACACATTTGTATGGCACCAGTTTAAGGAAGGCTATAGCAGAGGTACTATCCCTTTGCTTTTTGAAATTTATGGTCCAACTGCTGTTTCTTTGGTACTTTTGAAGGGACAGCACAATGTCCCTAAAACATTGTGACCATCTTGTTATTAAGCCTTCATTTCAGGGATATGATTAGTAGGTTGTTCAACAACATGCTGGTTTTTCCATACACAACATGATTTATAATTTTCTACCACTTTGGCCTGGAAGTTAGCTTTATCCCTCTTCTGCCAAAGATCAGTGGCGATGTAGATATTATAGGGGTCATTAGAATGTTCGAGCTTTTTGGAGCGGATGTAGCTAATCATGACCCCAAAGGTGATGAATCCAAAAAATCCAAGCAGCAGAAGTATAAATACTACTTCCAGGTGGTCACTGGTGTCAATGAAGGGCGCGGGCGTGGGATGCTTTGTCTTCTCTACATAGTCTTCTAGCAGTTTTGAGAGGATCAAGGTTAAGGCTGTGTTATTGGATGGCATTGCCATGGTGTCTTGAAGGATGCAGCTGTTTCCACAGATGCTAGAGAAATTTGAAAAAAGATAGTTAAAAAGAATGCATGAAAATTGTAATATCTGTATAATATTCAGACTGACTTTCTTTTATAAAAATCATAGAAATATGCTACACTTTGAAACAATTTGAGATTGGTTCTTGAACTGTGTATGCTTTAAATCTTTATTTCATTTGAATGAATCATGTGAACCATGGGCCAACCTGCCCCTAGAATATCACCACTATTTGTACTGAAAGATATTCCATGTGAAACAATAACACAGCAATTGATATATCCTTAATAATGGAGACAAAATAAATCTGACAGCATGTATTGCCCTGTTCCTCAGTTTCTACTGTTTTTTTTTTTCATCCTAGCATTTTTCCCGCATGTGCAGGGTCCGCTTTCCCCCCCGGATCAACCAAATGTTAATCCATTGGTTGCAACAGGAATTGACTAACCAGCTTGATGCCTGAGCCTGACATTGGGGGCTGAGAGAGAGTGACTGACCCAAAGTTACCCAAGCAGCTTTCATGCCTAAGGCAGGACTAGAACTCAGAGTCTCCCGGCTTCTAGTCTGGTGCCTTAACCAGTGGACCTAACTAGCCCTCAGTATCTACTGTAGTCTTGGTTATTATAACTTACCATCTATTCATACTTTTCATAAGAAATTTTTAGAAACAAATGGTCCCTCAGCAATAAGTTATATTTTTTTAAAACAAGTTTCTGTAAACCTTTGTGGTTACAATTTGCTCTCACATCCCTCCTTTCCATGCCTTTGCCTTTCTCACTTGTTCTCTTTTTATAGAAATTGTCACTAAACTGTCACTACCATTAAACAGTGAAGTGGTCATCTCAAGTAGTGCATTGTAGGAGTCAGTGTTGTGATGAACATTTGAGGAGAGACCTATTTGCTAGGGCTACCAGATCTGGGCTGCAAAAGCCAGATGAACCCTACGTGTCAGGAACAAAGCACAGAAAACCCTCTTTGTTACCATCTAGTGATCAACTGAATTGGCAGAAACCCAAGTCTGGTAGACCTACTATTTGCATTCTGCTGTGCTGCAATGGAAATCTAGCCATGATTGTCATGGTAGATGAGTTTGGTGAAAGATTCTTGGCTCTTTTACCAGCCACTGACTTCACTGCTCTGATGTCCCAAAAAGTCAACTAACTTTGGCCTAAGAGAAACAAGTGCTTATGCAGTCTTCTTGTTGGCTGTTCTGATCGGAGCAGCACTTGGGCTGCATTGCAGTTGGGCCAGCATCCTTAGTAAAAGAACTAGCTAGCTAGCTAAATAAATACATGTTATTATTGTCCTTCTGATTTTTGAAAACAGGCAATGCTTATCATTTAAGGTGACTTTATTGTGGGGAAAAAATTTATAGCAGCTAGATGACTAATATAAGAGCTGTTAATTACAAGAATATACAGTGGCTCTTCTACATAGAACTTCCTAACTTAAATGTTTCAGCATAGGAACAGATCAAGTTTTCAGAGCTCTACAGTTCAGTTTCTCTGCATTGTAAGAAAGTTATACAATCATTAGAGCTTGCTTAAGCATTTCCCTTATCAATACTTGTACACTGAAATTGCTGGGCTTCATTATGTGTTGGTTAGAAATTAGTAAAGGGAAAAAGGGAATCAACAATAGAGAGATTGCTACATTCCGTGGTTGGCTAGACATTGCCTAAATTTTACTTAAATGTTAATTAGGCTACCTGATTCCCATTTAGCATCACTGTCTACCTCTGATGCCTGGATTTGGTTTTAAATTCAAAAGAAGACCTTTGTAGGAAGAGACATAAAAGGTTAACATCATTTCCTTTTTATGAATCAACTTCACAGGTATGAAAATTAGAAGCAGGAGAGTGAAATTGCTTCATTCATTAGGCAGATAATTTGTGCTGTGGGCAGATAATTTTGATGCAGATTAGGAGTTCTGGTGGGGAAAATGGACAGTGGATTGCTCAGCTGGCTCCACCCTTCATCCCCAGTACTCATGTAATTAATTTCTAAAAAGAGTTGTAGGGATGGTTCTTCATACATTTGGGGACCCATGTCATGTAGAGTATCTGATCAGGTGAGAGTATGCAGGTCTGATGTGAGATTGTGCAACTACTTCCAGGCCCGCAGCTGATAGTGATGCAATCTAGGCTTCCAAGTGTGCTTAGTTTTCCCCAAAAGCAGTGCCTAAAACATTCAGAAATCTGGTGACCACTGCAATAACATACTATCAACCAGTAAGAACCACAAGAACTGATCCACAATGTATCAGAAACATGGAATTTCTGGGGCATTTTTTGGGGGGGGGGGGAGGATGAAGATGTTGGCTATGGGAAGTGCACAGGTGGGATATTGCAGTTGGGCCAGCTGTATAAGTGGACAGGCTCCTCTTATGAATATGAGGCAGCCTAATATGAAACATTTGGGTCCTGCATAGTTTTGTGCCTTTTTCACATACTTAGTATATTCTTCTGAGTCTATGCTGCCGTTTATTAATGAAGTGATTGTTGTTTTATGTTTTGTAATTTCACATTTGTAGCATATGTTGGCTTTGCTTTTGTTTATGATACCCTAGAATCTTAGGATTGGATAGTGATTAAAATTACTTTTTAGTGGAAAAAATAGATTTCAGAACTTTTCATTTCTTTATTTTAATGTGGCTGTATTGTTCTTTAATTTTTCAGGACATATTTATTGGAAATCCCCCCCCAATTATTTCTAAAAAATACAGTGCTAATATAAAATGAATATATCCTACTTCTATATCAGATTTCAAAATATTAAGCCATGTCCCTATTTGCAGCTAATCATGGCACAAACATACATTGGCAACATCTTTTTTATGCCATACCCCCATGATATTACTTATATCACATCCCTAGCTCATGAATGACATAAGTTTAAGATATCCTATGGCCTACCAATGTTAAAATAATATTTTCCTCTTATTTCAATACCATCCAAAAGCAGCCTCAAGGGACTGTATGTAAATCTCTTAGCCTTTGTTAATGGGTTTCAACTGGGTGCAATAGAAGTTGGAAACAGATCAGCAATGGGGTTCAGCCAATGTTATGCCTGCCTAACTGTCTACAAGTTCAAGGATGGGTAGACAGCACTCTAACTTGGTAGTAGGGAAAGGCACTTAGATCTGCTAAAAATTATACTGGGTCAACTGCACCCTATATGTCATTCCCAACTTCTGTTTTCCTTAGGAAGTGTGCACTTAGTGTGACATGTGTTTGGTTTTGATAGTTAAATCAGGAGCATGGCAATTCAGAAGAGGACAGCCTGTTCCCCTCCAGATATTGCTGTAATTCTGCTCACAGCAGACCTAGCCAAAATTGCCAGTAACAAGGGATGCTGGGAGCTGTAGTTAAGCAAAATCTGGAAGGCCACAGCAGCTCATTTGTATGCTTGGATGATCTTTGGCTTTGAAAAATGTGCTTTTGTTCGTGGAAATAATTGGACTGGATTCAATTCTGCAACTGAATCTATCATTAGTTTCCATTTCTAAAAGAAAATTGCACAGGACTGCAACATGCATGCCCTATGTACACCTGATTGCCTTTGGTTCCAGAACTTGGATTATTTTTTGAACTGTGTGTATGTTAAATTGATTAGGCTGGGGGTACTTTCTGAGGAAGTTTTTTTTGTCTGAAGTTGCAGAAGAATAAAGAGAGATATCAGCTTAGAATAGCCTTCCTCAATTTAGCACCTTCCAAATTTATTGGGACTATAACTCCCTGAATGTTTGGCTTAGTATGGCCTTTGCCTGAGAACTTTGAAGGGTGTGTATGTATGTGTGTGTGGGGGGGATTGTAAACACATCTGGAGAACACTACCTCGAGGAAGGCATAAGCACTAATATCTACGCATTGAACACATGTAACTGTATCCATTGCAGGCTGCCCATATAATCAATCTTAAGTATTTATAATTGTAACTGATTCATGTCAAACTGGTCCATCTTCCTAGATATTAACAGATGAATCCTTTGGAAAAGGTCTCTAGCTTTCCATTGATCAGGAGGCATGTTCAAGAATCCTGTTCTTATTTCTGCCCCCCTCCCCCTCAAGTAATGTGCAGTATGAGCATTAAAAGCAGCTGTGGATCTTTACATCTAGTGGTGCTGAACAGGACACGCTACCTGCCTACCTGGATTAAAAAAAGGAAAATGAATACTGTGTGGTCTTATTAATGTAAGGCTCTAAATACAACGTAATCCCATCTTTTAAAAAATATTATTTATTTCCAAAAAAGTGGATGTAATATTGTAAAAACTTATTACATCAGTGTGAACAGTTATAGTTGTTTGTGACATTCTAATCTGCACATATAATGGCAATTTGCACAATTCTTCTTGGTAATTCTACACATGCACTTGTGCACATGCACACACACATACACACACTATTAAATATCTGAATTGTGAAGTGCCAGGCATGATGTCAACATTGTATGTAACCAGTGTAACAATGAATGTAAAAGTTAAACCTTTTCATTCACCTCTTGTTTCAAGTATTGTGATGTTTCAAAGTATGAATTCTTCCCACACTTCTCTCCTCAGCAGAAAATGTATTTTACAGTATAACAGGACATCAGGACAAAATCAATAAAACAATGAAAAGAATCAATAAAGTCAATGAAAAGAAGCAGAGGAGATACCAGGCGCTGCCTCAGGCTCCCCAGTAGAAAACAAGATTTACCTTTCTGATTAGCAAGAAGCAAGGGCAGAAGCAAACTGGGAAAACATGCAAACTCACCAAGCTGTGCGAAGGAGGGAGCCTGCAACCTGGATGCTGTGAATCAGGCTCACGCTCTGAGAGTGGCTAGAAAGAAGCCCGAGGTTTGGGCGTTGGGAATCCACCCTGCACGGCTGTGCCTTCTGGGAGGGACCTAGTGGCTGAGCTCACAGCCTCATACTATGAGCGCACAGGAGGAGAAGGCAGCCTATAACCAGCTGGCAAGGCAGCAGCATGAGTTAGAGGAAGGTGACACAGACTTCCAGGCAGAGAAGGAATGCCCAGGAACACAAACAAGTAAGGAAATGTGCCATGTGCAGAGAAGAGCCTGCAGCTCATGTGGCACCATTAGGTAGTTCCCTGGACTGGCTTCCTTCATCATGTCTTTCGTTGCTTTATTTTGCCTGATGGGTTTTAATCCTACAACAGGTGTCCAGAATTGCAATTTTTTTTTGGGGGGGGGGCTATAAAATAACTTAAAATCTATCTATCTATCAGTCATCTGTAACCAAAGGGTCAAAATAATTCTGGCTTCTACCAAAGAACAAATAGGCAGGGGCATTTAAAGAAGTCACTGGTTCAGTTCTGCAGAGCTGTTTTTCTTCTTTGTACCCAGTGATGAGATCCAGGGTAGACTAAGCACCTTTGTGTTAGAAAGTTTGGGCAAGACCTCATCACTCTGCCCTCAGTTGCAAACTTGCAAAAAGGTGGCATTAAAGTTCTATTTCAGGGCATCAGACAAGTTTGGCAAAGAGTTTTGCAGTTTTCCCTTACCTGATATCTTCCAGGTCTGTAGGAGTTCAGTTCCCAGAATTCCCACCTAACATGCACAGAGCAATTCTGAGCTGGGATGAATCCTTTCTTTCTACTTTTATAAAATAAATCTCCCATCTTATTTGGCTCTCCTTTATCCTTCTGTCTTGTGAAATATATAAAACAACTACTCCATCCACAGTTACCCTGATCAGCTTGGATCATTGGATTCTTGCTGCTATTAATGGCAGGAAACCAAATAACACCATATTAAACCACAAATAAGCTCACCACATTTTACCCTAGAATATTCTGAAAATCTAGCCAATGTAGTTAGTTTAAGGTTCAGGATGCTGTGCAAATTCTGAATATTGGGTTTATTGAATAAATTGTACTTAAGTTGCCTTGGATAAATATGTCATGTGAACACAGCCAGTCTGGTCACTGGTAGTCAGTGGATCATGTGGACCAGATTGCTGGTTGCTGCCCAGAGCATTGCTGGGAGGAAGAGAAAGATGAGTGTAGGGATATATGTTGAAAGGGATGCATGAGTATGTATATTTGTGTAGAGCAAAATGTTATTTCTCATGGGGCAAAGAGATTCATATGAAATACTGATATTTTGCATGGCATCTGGTTTTACTCTCTCCAACTGCAATGTTTCTTCTTCAGAAGCTCCATGAAATCATCTGAGCAACACAGCGGGTCTTGCTTCTCCCAGAAGGCTGCAGAATTGGGCCTTCTGAGAGGCCTGACTGTGAGAACTGTTGAGTGGAAGGCTTTTACCTTTTTAAAGACAGGGACTTTTTAAGGCTTAAAGTTTAAAAGGAAGAAGAAGCATCCTTACCAGACTCTCTATCTCCTATAATTTTCAAGTAAATCCTCAGTTGAAAACATTGTATGCTAAGCCAATCCATTGCCCACCCCATTCTGTTTGTAAACTTGGCAGCAGTTTTGGTCGAATCTTGTGCACTAGATCATGTTCTTATTTTTTTCCTTGATTTCATTTTGAAATCAAATTGCTGGTATTAGTGATTAATTTTGTGAGTAAGGAAGAAAAGGCAGCTATTTGCAGTACTGTTTTGGCATAGGCAAAGATGCTTTGCACGTGCTCAGTGATACTTTCCAAATACTTACTCTTAATATTATAGAGATATTCCTGAAAGAGTTCCTGATGAAATCATGGCACAACTTAAGTTAAAAATAGAGAATAAAGAAAAAAATCTATTTATGAAACATTGCAGAAGGAAGGAAAGCCAAGGCAAGAGTGTTATGTCTAGGGGATCCCTATTTTTGTGTATTGTAAATATATTTTATTTGAAAGAAGTGAGTCAGTGCTTCATCCCTAACAGTGGAATGCTGAAACATCATCTGTACAGAAGCCCTGCCATCTCTGTGGAAGCAACGTATGTTTGTGACTGCTTAGGGGCAAAAAAAGAAGTATTTTCTGCAAATTCAGAGGCATTCTTTTTGTTTATTTTGGTAAAAGCTAAATACAGTAGAGTCTCGCTTATCCAACATAAATGGGCCGGCAGAACGTCGGATAAGCGAAAATGTCGGATAACACACAGTAACGATTGAGTGCGGTAAAAAACAACCACCACCACCACCGATCCGCTGCGCCTGTTGCAATAGATTTTTTGCGTTGCGGCGCTGCACCGTCAGGAGCAACAAGAAAGAGTACACTCATGCTTGCAAACAAGCGGCAAACTTTCCTCGTCACCGATTTATGCGTGTTGTGTTTATTTAGGGGCGTTGGATAAGACGGAATGTCGGATAAGCGAAGGTCGGTTAAACGAGACTCTACTGTACATTCAAACTACTGTAAATTTGAAAGAATACCTACACATTTGCTTGTGCATATTGTATGACTTTTGCTTTCTGGACCTGTGCCTTGGAGCTTCAGTTATTTGGCAATACCTTGAACAGCCAGCAAGAAATGAAACAGTGCTCACTCTCTTTTACAATCAATACTTTTGTCAGTATTTGGTGACCTTCTAGCAAAGGAAAGAGACTCAGTTCCAAAAACAGCTACTACACTTGAGCAGGCATAGATGATAGAACCACTAACTTCCGTTCATGACTGTACAAAAGTTGGCCATCCATGGCTGAGGATCATTTGCACTGTAGGATCATTTGCACTGGAGATCTGTCTTGCTGGGACATAACGGCTTAGTGATTCATGGCATGGTAAACACACTGGTGCAGTTTTAAGGGCTCTGAATCACATGGACTATAAACATACCTATATTAATTCTGAAATGAATGAGTCAGAACTCGTGTAGCTTAAGGTATGGAGGACGAAGGAAAAAGACAAACATGCATAGAACTGGTTTTTCTGAACAGGGCAAGCAGAAGCAAATTTGGACATGTGCCTCAAGCATGTAACTTAGATGAAGGCATTTATTGGTTTATGTGATTGTAGAGGTCGAGCCAACACAGGCAAATGGATGTTGCCAAGGCCAAAAGTAAATGTGAACTAAAATTAAATCAAATTATCTAAATGCAATTTATACAATTACTCCCAATGGGCATAATTTTTTTTCCTTTTATCACAAGAAAAATTCAGTCTCATGCTCTTTTTGAAAAGCCTTTGGAAATCTGGACCCCTAGGTTGAACAATGCTTGCCTATTTACACAAATAACACTCCTCCAGGTGCTCAAGGAGATATACATAAACTCCCACCTCTACATTTTCCACAACAGCCCTGTGGGGTAGTTTGGGCTAAGAGAGAGTGGCTGATCCAGTTACCCAGTGAACTTCCATGGCTGAAGGTGAACGTGAACCTGGGTCTTCAAAGCTAAAGACCTCCCTAGGTACTGTTATTACACACATGTTCTCAGGAGCAGAAGGAAATTCTTTCTTTCTTTCTAGAATAGAAAGAGCTAGCAGTATTGAATGGAAAAAACTAGAGGAGCAATGTAAATGGTAAGAAACAAGCAGATTAATGTTGTTGTAGCACTAATAGATGATGAATGTTCACTTACTAGTATCCTAAACCTTTGTGTTTCATAGACTTAAATATCCAAGTTGCTTTTACATACATGTTCAGAATATGTATATATCAAAAGTTTGATGACCTGGAGTCAAACCTCTTGCCCTACTTTCTTGCCTTGCCTTACACCTCTTGCCTTACTTTCAGTCTCTACACATTTATTCAAAGACCAAAATTACACAACTGTTTAACGTGTAAACTCTTCACTGGCCATGGACAAGAGTAAATGAGTGAAGATCAAATTAGCCTCCTCCTACAACCTGGCACCTCTAAATATATAGCATTCTGTGCTGATTAGCTGTTCATGGAGTTAAACTTCTTACACATCTGAAGGCATCAGAATGGGGAAGACTTGTTTGTATAATGTTTGGGGTCTGACAGGGTTTGATATAATGCATCTTTCTCAGGATCAAACAGACAAACCCAAAGTCCATAAAAACCATCTTGAGATCCAGTTTACATTTTTTTCCTTTATTTGTAACAATATAAGATTTTAAAAAATGGTTTCTCTGAGAGTTTGACCTTTGCAGTTAGATAACTGCAAGCATCATGCTGCTAAAGCAAATAAACAGCTTTGGATCCCTCTCCTGGGTTAACTGCTACAGAAAGGTTGGAATGTAGTAAAAGCAGGAAATCATTCTAACTGCTCTGCCATTCAGTGATTAACTATTTACCTGACTGCGAAGTAATACTTCTTCCTAAGTCAATGCGCTGACATTATTGTGACTTGTGTAGTTATAACTAGAGTCCGCTTGGAGTTAATCAAGAGCTTCAGATAACCTTAGTTGACAGTCTCTCATGGGTAGCGGAATGCTGATCTTTTTTTTTTTTAATCCACTTCTCCCTCTTCCAGGTGAGCATAATCCCTCGAAGCGTGGTCCTCCTCCATCTTTGGTGATCTTTATTCACCTTAGGAGTGTGCAATGATCTTTCATCTAGCCTGGAACTGCAAGTCTTCAGCAGCCAAAACTGCCTAAAACCCACTTGGCTTGCAGCCATCTTCTCCATCTTTTCAACTCCACCAACTGCGAGCTCCTTAACCTATTTTAACTTGGTCCAGTGTGAGAGAGTTCCTGTCTGTGTGAAAACCTTATCTATTTTACTCCCAGTTATTCTCCAAGCTTATCAGCTGCAAGTACAGCATATATATCTGGGAGGTCATGTTACACAATGGCAGGCAATATTTATCTGCTTCATTCTGTCATATTGATCAAAAGAAGCATTGCTCCATGAAAGAAAAATCCAAAAATCCATAGATGAGTATTAATTTTCTGAGCACTAACTAAATTTCACAAACAGTATACAAGTTTTCGAGTTATTCAGAATCCTTAAACAAGAAAGTGGTTATAAAAACTG